CTCTCTCTCTCTCTCTCTCTCTCTCTCTCTCTCTCTCTCTCTCTCTCTCTCTCTCTCTCTCTCTCTCTCTCTCTCTCTCTCTCTCACCCCCTCTCCTGGGGCCCTTCTTGTGCTTTGCCCTTCTCCTCCCTCTCTCAGTCCTGCATATCCCTCTTCTCGCTGGCCCCCCCGTGGTCTGTGTTATATTTCCCTTTCCTTTTGTCGTGAAGGGGGTAACACCCTAACATCGTTATGTTGGTCTGTTTCAATCAGGAATCAAATTTATGAGCTGTTTATTGACAGTTACATGTTGCATTTCTCCTAAGATGTTATGCGCACTTTTTCACTGGTTTCTTGTTATGCACTGCAGTTCCTGTATGATCTCGATTGAAATGGAGGTTTATCTAACATTGTATACCGGTTCTATGTCTCTTTTGGGATGCATTGAATGGAGGTTTCTTTAACATTGTATAAGGTTGACATTCCGCTCGTCTCAGTTCACCTCCCTTTGTCGCTGTCTGTGATAATAACCTGGCTAGCTGCAGTGGGAAAAAAGAAGATCGATTGTTGTGCCATTCTTGTCGATGCTTCGACTTTCACACAGCAGTGGGAAAAGAAAAGATCGCATGTGTTGCACCATCCTTGTCGATGCTTCACCTTTTCACACAGACTCCCAAGAATGATCGCCAGGATTGGGAAAATCGAAGATGGTGCAATGCATGGAAGGTGGACAGGAATTGCCAAAGAGGACGGTACTTCGGAAAGCGACCGAAATACTTTGTCTGAGTTTATCGCTATGAAGTTAGTATGAACCAATGATTGCTGCTGAAGTGTTGCATACCGTGAAGGTGCAGACCAGAACAAGAACCGACCTCTCTCACAAAGTACAAGATAGCGTAGCGGAAGACTTAGATACCAATGATCCGAACAATCAATGTTGCAATTTAGCCCCAAACATACATCATCATCATTCCATGGTGTGAAGGGGCCTGGCGCTCACACAGGAAGAATGCGCCAGTCCCCAACCATATACAGCCGAAGAAGAGGGGGGTTAAACGAAGAAGAGGGGAAGATGGGAATGCCGTCAACACCAAGTCTTCGGCACAGGCCCAAAATAATCCCTCGTCAAATGTCTGAATCCCAATGTCGAGTCTGGATCCAATGTCGTTTCAGCCGATACTGAGAAGTCAGGTAGCGAGAGGGTGAAGAAGAGATGGCGGACATAGAAGAGGAAGGAGAAGAACTCTCTCTCTCTCTCTCTCTCTCTCTCTCTCTCTCTCTCTCTCTCTCTCTCTCTCTC